ATAAAATTCAGACAATTCTGCCGCGCGTGAGTGCGATGCTCCTTTCAGGCTCGGTGATCTGGACATTTGTGGAAAATTGTTCTGCTTATGGCTTTACAAGCCTGTTGTGTCTGGTGAAACCGTAAGTGTGGTGTTTCGCTGGGTGTTGGTGAATAGAAAAAGTTATAGACTACAGGGGTTAGAAGATTAATATACAAACTAGTCCAACAATTAAAATATAGCAGAATACATATAAAACACAAAAGACCTATTTCTTAATATCGGATGAGCAATAGATGACAAAAATATATCTACGAAAGAAAATGCTGAAGAAACTGAGAACATCGAGAAAAATAGAAGAAAAAATAAAAATAGCTTAAAGCAAAATTCTCATGTGGATTAATGATATCATTGCGTAGTGCTGGGCAGAGTAGAATACGAAGTTTGTTTCATTAGCTATTGGTCGAAGAGCTTTTAGTGATAAAGTAAAGGCCTGCTAAACGCCGCTTAAAAACACCTGAGACCGCGAACACAGCAAGCCTGAGTTTTGCGGCAGAGCACAACAAACCTGCTTTGAATTGTTGTCGTAGTGTTGTGATTGTTATATTGGCTTGTTTATGGGTGTGGTGTGTGTTGCTCGAGTGTGGGTGTGTCTTTGATTTTACTCATCAGCGGTGCTTTCGTTTGAATGTCAACGTCGCGCTCTTGGTTAGGTCTACTTAGTGAAACCCCCCCCACGTGCCTCCTCCGTTCATGCGCTCCCTCTGAACCCCTTCGGCCTCGTGTCGCCCGCTGCCGCGGTCATGCTAACGTCTTCCCCAAGGAGGGCTTCTCTCTAGTTATTTGCACTGCTAGACCAGGGGAAGTGTGCATGTGTGTGGTGTTTGTCGTGGTGTGGTGTGGTGGTTGGTGTTGTGGTGGTGTGTGTGTGTGTGCACGCCGGCGAGAGAGTGAGTGAGCGTGAAGAGCTGCTGCCATGGCAACAACATCAATGATAATACAAGCTGTAGCCCAGAAGTCTGTGTCTGTCTTTTCTGTTCCTCTCAGCAGCTTGTTGACGGAAAGCAGAACATCATGTTACACTGCAGCACTCTGACATACAACTGTATGTTATATTATACTTTATATTACAGCACGTTATATTATGTTATATCAGTACATTATATTATACTTTATATTATACTATGAATCTGCCACATTCACCCTTTCACACACACATTCACTTAGTGAGCACAGCCCATCAAACACAAACTAACTCATTCATTCACATTCACACCGATGCATCAGGAGCAATTTGGGGTTCAGTATCTTGCTCAAGGATACTCCAACATGTGGACAGATGGAGCCAGGGATCGAACCACCCCTGAGCCACAGCTGCCACAAAATTTACAATACTATATATATATATATATAATAACATTCAATGTTATGTTACGGTACGTTACAGTATATTATATTACATACGTTATGTCATGTCATGACATATGTGTACAGTTATGTATAATCCTAACCTAAATTATATAATATTATAATTATTATCATCTTATATCTTATATTACAGTACATTATATAACATATATTGTTACATTGATACATATTATTACATATTTTATGTTATAGTAGCATGACAAACGTCAAAACACTAACACTAACACTAAGATATTAACACACCAACATACTAACACGCTAAGACGTGTTATCATTGGTCAACAAATTGTACACTTCAAGCTTAAACCTATAATATGTAACATTTCCACATTAAAATGTCTAATTTCCAGACCTATGTTATATATGTTGTTGAGTTGAGTACTTACATTATCTCATGTTTCAAACACAGAGATTTATCTGTAATAATATTCTGGTAACGGTGCGTTTCCTTGCTTCCCTCTAGTTGCTATAACTTCCAGGTAAACACGGGATAAGTTGGATTCGTTGGAGAGTGATGAAGGAAGTTGGCAAACATGAATAAAACTTTCATGCATTAACTCGTCCGTTAATAATTTCAATCAAATTATAAACTGTACGTTTAACTTTCTGTTCCATAATGTATTTTCTTTTGGATGATTTAAGTCTGTTTAAACCGGAAACACGTTCTCGTAGGTAAACATCTAAATGTGTCTGCTGGTGGACCATTCAACGTCTCGTGTCAAAACTCATTCCCTTGCTGAATATCTATGAGACAAACATGAATCCATCCTCACCCAGATCTGCAGCTTGATCCTCTTGTCGTTGCGATACACCGTCTTCACCTTGAAGTCGATGCCGACGGTGCTGACGAAGGAGTTGCTGAAGGAGTCGTCGGCGTAGCGGAACAGGAAGGACGTTTTCCCGACGCTGCTGTTCCCGATGATCAGCAGCTTGAACATGTAGTCAAAGTTCTGGTCGGAGCCATCCCGCTGGCCAAAACGCTGGTCTGCCTTCGCCATCTGGAAGGTTCGATGAGAAAACAAAAAAAACACAATTAGTGAAAATCTATCGAATCAAAGTCAACCCGGGATATCCAACTCCCTTTTCACAATCTGGGTTTCAGTTTTAGTGGTTGCTAATACATTGTATCTCAGTAGTCGTCAACAGATGCTGCCGCTGCCATCTCGCGCTGGTGACGCAATTTAATTTTTCTGAATTGTGTAAATATATCCACTGTACAGTTCCCTCAAAAACATACACAACATAATGTAACAAATAAAGTCAGTGGTGTCTGTCTACTAACATAAGACTTATTCAGTCACTTCTATATTTATACTATAGGTTAGCATTGCAGCAAGTCTCATTCTTTTGTTGGACTACAAGACATGGTGTACGGATACCCTGTGTTCCTGCCCAATCTCACTCATTAGCTACTTCAATCATTAGTGCATTTTTATTTTTTCATGTAAAAATTATCTGTATTAGTTAAGATAATATTAAAGGGGAACTTGGCAACTCTAGCCATTTCTTCGCTGGTTTTAATTTTGTCATTGCATGTTTTCTCAAAGAGC